GTCAGATGCCATTAACAGGTCGTTATAGACTCTTAAGAGAGCGGTCTCAGTAGAGTGCTGCTTTTGAAAGCCAGACTGAAAAGGGTCAAGAATCTGTAATTGACATAATAGAGACCTGAACTGATTTTCAACAATTTTTTCAAGTAATTTACTGACAAATGGCAATTTTGAAATAGGTCGGTAATTACTAGCAGAGCTAGGATCGAGATTCTGTTTTTTTAACAGAGGAGTTACCTCAGCGTGTTTAAAATAAGATGGAACACAGCCTTGCCTCAGTGAACTGTTGATGATGGATAGTAATGTGGGACCAATGCTGGTGATAGACCCAGACAGGACAGAGTGAGGTAATATATCTACAGAACATGACGAGGATTTCATTTTACCTAAAACTGTAATTAAGTCATTTAGTGTGATTGGAAAAAAGGAGGTAAATGATCCAGAACAACAGGGGGTATCTTCATAAGGGGAGGCACTTGAGGAAATTTTAGATTTCAAGTCCATCACCTTATTTACAAAGTAATTAAGGAAAGTATTACAATCTTCATCAGAAAGCAACAGAGCATGCTGGGTTGGAGGAGAAACAATACTGTTGATGGTATCAAATAGAATTCTTGAATTATTTTTATGACGGTTTATAAGATTATTGAAGTAAGAGGATCTGGCCTCTTTGACTGATTCATTATATATGTAAAGTAGTTCTTTAAAGTGCTCACGATGGACAGTCAGACCGGTGGACTTCCACAGACGCTCTGCTTTTCGATAGGAGCGTCGAAGACCACGAGTCTGATAATTTAACCATGGAGTCCGGGAGCTAACAGAGCAGTAACTGGTTTTGAGAGGAGCAACCTGATTTAGAATGGCAAGACAGTGTTCATTAAAAGAATTAGTTAGAAGCTCAACCTCATTAGAGGAACTTTTAAAATTAAAAAGAGAGGAAAACTCAGAAATTATAGAATCGTCAATAAAGCGCCTGCGCCTAGTCGAGCCTTGAGGATGGGACTCTGAATTAACAGATACAGTAAAGGAGACTGACTTATGGTCGCTAAAAACAACTTCATTTAAATTCATGTGGTCAAGGGAAACACCATAGGTGAAGACCAGGTCCAAAGTGTGCCCAGCCCTATGAGTAGGCCCTGCTACATGCTGAGCAAAGTTGAAAGAGTCCATAATGCTCAGAAACTCCTTAGTGGTACTGTTTGTTGAGTCATCCACATGAATGTTGAAATCTCCAACGATGATAACCTTGCCCATTTTAATAGTGGAAGCTAAAAAGTCTTGTAGGTCTGACAAGAAAGCCGCAGCAGACCCAGGTGGACGATAAATTAAAATGCCGTATATGGGCTGTTCTCTTCCAATTTTTATCACAAGCATCTCGAAAGAGTTGTAGCAACTTGAAGAAATCATTTGGCATAAGAAAGTATTTTTAAAGATTACAGCTGTTCCACCTCCTCGTCCAGATGTCCGAGGTGCACAGAGAAATGAGCAGTCAGCGGGGCAAAGCTCTAAAAGATGTGAGACTTCATTCTCACGTTGCCACGTCTCAGAGATAAACATGAAGTCAAGCTTCTCAGAGCAGAACAAGTCATTTAAAATATAAGACTTATTGGCGATTGAGCGAGCATTAATTAACATCCATTTAAGGCTGCGACTCACCAGGACAGGGGTAGAGTTTCCAGGAACAGAGTCCGCGCTATGCGGTAAGGCGCGCAGCAAAACAGGGTTCCTGCCGCGATGGGGCTTGGCTTTCCATGCTTTCAGATGACAGTCTGGGTCGTAAGCATAGTGGGTTGTGGGGATTAATCCAGTTCCGACAAGTTTCAGCCGAATCTCACCGGTAGCAACCCAGGAATAGAGCCCCCGAAGGTCCATTTCTTTCCGAAGGCGACGGAGCAGAACGTGAAGGCCGGCTCGCTTCCCCCGCTTTCTCCGACGAGGCCGCTGGAGCAGAAATGAGCTAGCCTGCAAGAGTGGAGGTAGACCTGGTGCTGCGTCGCGCTCTAACGGCGGTAGGAAAACAGCCTCGTTTCGTTGACTCTGAAAGCTATCCATTGCAGATTTGATCGCTAGCAGCGCATGACGATCGTAAATCCGAAGGGGGGTAACACCAGAAAAAACGGTGGCAAAAACACTTGCATAGCAAATAAAACAAACAAACACACGGACGAAGGCAGCGGCACAGCCAAACACAGGCGCCATCTTGACCTTCAGATCCCAATCTGTGTTAAAGACAGAAGACAATGTTCCACAAGTCTTGTGATTTCTTCAACTTAATAAGAGGCTCTCTCTTTGCATCCCTTTCAAACAACTTGTCCAGTCTTTTTCTAATTGTACTGTGATGAACTTTAACATTTGTGATGATAATTGAGGCCTGTAGAGTCTGAGATTTAGCTCTTGGGTTTGTTTTTGCAGTTTCTCTGAGCATTACAGGGTCTGACCTTGGGGTGAATTTGCCAGGACGTCGGGCACAATACAGATAGAACAAATAAAGCCTAACAAACTAAAGGCAAAGTATATGCATCCAAATTTACACTGTGTCTCTTTCTTTCCCTTTGTAGATGAAGTGCAGTGAGTGGCAGTGACTTTCATGTTAAGGCCCAAAATGTCCTGCAGCAGTTTCCTTTTTGATGGCTATCACAGTGAAGAGAGCCATCAGTGATGGAGATTTGTTTCCCCTGCAGGGGATGAGAGGTGAGTTTAAAGGTACTCACTGTAAATTAAAGAGTTTTGAAATACTTTTTGTAACGTAAACAAAGCCATTCAGAAGAAAGTGAAGTAATAACTGCAGTATATAACAACTTTACCTTCAAACAACAGTGCTAACATTAACAGTGTGATGGATTGTAAATAAAATAATATTTTTTTTGTGATGTAATAAGTGGTTTTCTCAGGTTCAGACTTTACTAATCTGAAGTGTCAATATCAAATTGAGGACAGAAGAAGGGCAGAGTTTGAAGGCAGTGCAGTTCATGTAGCCGACGTGCACAGCAGAAGAAGAAGTGTCTGGCAGTTTAAATCAGCCAATAAAAAGCAGTTACGTAAACTCGTTTTGTATATCAGGTTGTGCTGTGCAGTGAAGTGGTTTAATTTAAACTGAAATATATTTAGCTACAACTGGTGGAAAATTTGAGAGGAATTTCGGGAACAGCTAATAAAAGAGAGTAAACATGCCGATAAAGAGCAGCGGTCCACTGGAAGAATGATCGTTAGCTTCATTTGGGCCCATATAGGTCCTTAGGACACTCTAAGCAGCATCCAGGGTAACTAATAAACAGTACCTGGAAAACAAAGTTTAATATTATGACAGCAGTAACAGTCTATGTGTGATACTTGCCCCTGTTTACCCTCCAGAGGGGATACATTTTGTGACAGGCAGACAGGCACGGCAGTAGGCAGCCAAGATCTGCGGAGATCTGTTGACAAGCGGCTTCTTGTGAAGAGGTGCCAAATTATCCTGAGGGGGACATCCAATGCCACTGTATCCAAGCAGTTTAATGCATTTACCTTTGTTTCAGTACACAGCGAAGAAAGTTGATTGCTGCTGCTGCTGATAAGGCCAAAAAAAAGACCAAAAAAGAAACTAAAGGAATCTTCTGAACTCATTTAACCTTTAGTGTAATATTGGTTAATTACTTTGCAGACTAGTGGAGCATTTACTTATACTTTTATCACAAACTCTATGAAAAAAATGTGAGCATGAGACCCGCGGCTGTAGATTTTTACAGCATCCAGTTTCCAGTGAATGGAAATCCTACGTTGCTGTGTCAGATCCATATATCCATATATGTTTACAACAGTCAGCCACTGATCATTGCATGCTCCAGTATAATTTAGACAGCGACAAGGTGTAAATGGTAAGCAGGCAGTGTTATCACAGAAGGTCTGAGGAATATTTAACAGAAGAATATGTACCTTTCAACCCTGGTACTGGAGCTCCCATTTGTTCATCATGTGTTGAAGTGAACTGTCACAGGCTGTGCAAGAAACTTGCAGTCATGTGAAAAAGAAAGTTTTTCACATGACTCTGTGTAGTCCTGTGAAAAACTGAGTACACCCCATGATTCAGTAGCTCGTAGAACCACAGTCAGCAGCAATAACTTGAAGTAATCGTTATCTGTACGGCTTAATCAGGAGACCCTCTCCTCTTCACAGCGTTGCCTGGGTTCATTTGTTTATGCACAGCTCTCCTAAGCTCCCGACACAGTATTTCAGTCAGGTTGACTGAGCCATTGCAACACCTTGATTCTGTTTTTCAACCATTGTGTTGTAAGTTTGATGCTGCTCAAAAAGTGGTGCGTACAAACTTTTCACACACCAATCAGTTGTTTGTCAATATTTTCATACCTGAATTTGTTTACCTGAAATATTGAAGGCCTGGCTGGCTGCTACTGCTACCACTACTACTACTACTACTACTGATAATAATAATAATAATAATAAAAACAAGTATTATTATTATTATTGTTGTTGTTATTATTGCCCTTTTATCATTAGTTATAGTTTTCCAGAATGCAATGAGCCACAAAATGATCAGAATTACAATTATATGAAAAAATAAATAAATAAATTGCATGCAAAGCAAACTAACTACTAAATAGTTGAATTTCAGTATTCTTTATCTACCTTATTTCAAAATATGTTATATTTCATTACAAATGACTTTTATCATTGCTGGATGTCATCACATACCGGCCTAATTTCATAGTCCTAACCTCATGGATGCTGAAGAATCCGGATGTTTGGGGGGTGGTCCGTGTGCATTTTGTGTTATTTGTTTTCTCATCTGACAGATCACATGATCCTTGCCCTCCACTTGTTTCCTACATTCTCTTGTAGTCGTTTTTCATATAATCTTTGATATTCAAACTTTTTTTTATTTATTTATGGGGGTTTTACCTGAGCCACAGCGAGTATCTCAGGGGAAATCAATATTCCGAAACTTCATTATTCCAGCTGGAGTCTCGCTTGTTGTTTTTTGGGGGTTATTGTTTACTTGTTTGTTTACTAAACTTTCTTCACTCCGGTGGAAACATTTAAGGAAGCCGTGTGTATGTTTTGGGTTCCTCTTTGGACAGAATCGTTTAGGTTTCTTCAGTTGGACTTTCTCTTGTCTCTTATAAGATAGGCATGTTTACTTATATAAAGAAATAGGGGTGTAGCAGATTGCATACAGACCGCACAAGCCTCTAGGTTCAGAATGACTGTGGTTCACTAACATATGCTGGGTGGTTAGAACAAAATAGGCCGGAGCGCATGTTTCATAATCTGATGGTGATTTTTGTGTGCAAACTGATATGATTTTGTGCAGGGTAAAAAGATTTCCTCACATATATGAGTAGACGAGGACCGTTCTTTTAGAAGTTGTCGTTTGTTTAGATGCAGACGTCCTGGTCCTCGGTAGTTCTTCTAAACACACCATAGATGTGGCTCCTTGGAATTCTGATGATTCTCTGTGCAATCAGAGCTTGGGGTAAATTTGCTGGGACGTCTGTTCCTAGGAAGATTGTGGCATTGTGTTAACAAAGACCTGATTTCCAGATTTTTTTATAGATATATTTTGGTCAAACCTCCTATGGATCTGGATCAATTAATCAATCAAGCCATCTGATTATCAGCACTTAGTTGCTATTTACCTTTGTCATCCATATGGAAGTAGTAAGGGTGTACGTAATTTTTTGACAGAAGCACAGAGTCCTGTGAACACTTTCTTTTTCACATGATGTATCGTTGAACTTGTCGCAATTTAATTTTAATTTAATTTGTCTTTGTGGTAAAAAATCTTAGCAAAACACTTGAAACCAGGGGAAAACATAATCCAGTTACCTCCGGTATAATGTCTTGCTGTAGCTAAGCAATCCATAAAGCCTTTTCCACCTGAAACAAATTGTCTTGCATTGTGCATTAATCAGCCACATTAAAACCATGTTTTATATTGTGTAGGTCCTCCTAGTGTCTTCAGAATACTTACTCTTTAGGGCACAAGGACCTCTGGGGGTCTCCTGTGGTGTCTCAGATATTGGCAGAGTCCTCTGCTGTCCTGCGTGGAGCCTCCATGGATTTGGCTGGTTGAATTGGGACCTGTGAAGTATGGAGGCTGGGTTAGCACCACGGCCTCTGTCATGTACCTCAAGCCATTCCAGAGCTCT